AGTGGGACAAGCTGCTTATCTCATAGTAGAATCTATAAAAAATAGCAATTTATCCTCTGTTGTTTGCAAGTTGTCTGTGGTAGCTCACCAGGTGACTTCCAGAAACTGGAAGGATGGGGCTGGACCCAGAATCTTCGCTGAGTCAATTCTACCTATACCTATTCATGTGGCAAACATTTCCAAACCCTAACGTTCTTCTTGGAGAAGGAAGTTTTCATTTCCCATTAACCAGCTTACTCTTGACAGTGATTCAAACCTCTTTGCAACCATGTGATGATAGTTGACGTCTTCAGATTACGTAAGGGACAAGAGGATAAGAATCAGATCTGGCCCTCATGAAGGTACATCACATTTAACTCTTCTTTTTTAATGCTGAGCGTAAAAACAAAGCCTTAATCAAGTTTATCACATCCATTCAGCCCCCTCCTTCTTTGTCCTTCTGAAACTCTTGGAAAATTTCACAATGGTCACATGGAGTTGATGATTGAGGGACTTTTTAGTGACTCCATACTGCCACAGATAGCCCTCAGCTCCCAAGAGTATTGTCACAGGCAAGACAAGAGCTATTCCAGAGGAGAAGAATGAGGTCTTAAACCCATTTCGCAGTTCCTTAATCAGAGCTGAGCGTTTCTATTAGCTTCCTGGATCTGGTACTACTGAATATTTACTGTAGAAGGTTCAGACAATTCTAAGGGCTCCTAGATTAGCCTCAAGCCAGAAAAGACAAGATCCTTCAAGGGCATGTCTTGGCCTTTCTGAGGACACATTTAGACAAAGGCCAGCCCACCCACTGGATAGATCTTAACTCCTTATTCCCCATCTGCAGTCTTCACTGGGACCCTGATAGTTACATCCAGGTCTTCTGTGCCTCCCCCATGCCCCACCAGCTTCTCTGCCAGCAGCTTCTCTGCCACTCCGCCTTCTGGCTCCCCAGTAGTATTACAGCACGTGGCACACAGCTTGGTGGTCCAGACGCGGCCCTCACCGGTCAACTCACCTTAACCTCAGCATCACCTGGGGGCTCTCAAACTGGGGAGGGAGGCACTGGCCCTCTGGGTCAGTCCTCTAGGTTTCAGAGCTTTGCCACAGGGGTAAACCAGCCACCCACTGTGTCAGGGCCTTTTGTTTCCATTCCTCATTGGCATCATTGGGTCTCCTCTGAGATGAAAGCAGCGGATTTAGTAGGTTCCAGAACTGAGATGGATTTCCTTCCTCCCAGCTGGCACTACTATGCCAGGAAGCCATTCACAGGAATCCTGTCCATTGTGTTCTCTTCATTCTGTGTGTTGACAGCCTGCGAAAGGGAATTGACTCATCTCTGGCCATGATCTTTCTTCTGAATATCTCAGATTTCTACTTTTCCTTTTTTCCTCAGAAAAAAACAAAAACAACCTAGCATGGCAACTATGCACCTGTGAATCAATTTTACCCTCTTCCCTGCCCTGAAAGAATGTTCATGGGGGTCCCATGGGTGCCCCTGATCTCAGTGTCCGTCAGAATTGAGGTCAGAGGATATGACTTGAGTAAACTCATTTTTTCCCCTAATCTGACAAGGCCAACCGGGTTGCTGCTGCTTCTAAAGAAAGAGGCCTTCCATTTCACGTGCTGGTGAGGGAGCCTGCTCCCTGCTTCCCTTAACAGAGCTTCACCCACTTCAGAAGGACCATTGATTAGTCCCTGCCAGGAGTTCCTGAATTCCTGCCGCAATGCTGCAGTAAACTGGGTTTAGCATTCACAGTGAATGTTGCCTTTCATTTTGCAACCTGCGAAAACCAAACCAATATCAGCTCCTAAGTCAATTGACCTAAAGCTCCTGGAAACGTGAATTACCCAGGTATGCACTGGCACTTGTCAGCAAAATTTAGGATTAAACTGGTGGCTTTTAGGAGTGGCTCTCATGCTGTGTCTGCTGGCTGTGATGTCACTGTGAGCACTGGTGTCCAGTGTCATTGGCTTGGAACTGCTGAGGAGTGAAATGCAGGCTTAGCACCTCCTTCTTCCAAGTCCCGACTGAATGTTTTCATCTGGAACTCAGACCATGCAGCTGTTTGCTTTCCTTGCTCTCCTTTCTCTCTCTCTCAACTGGTTGGCTTCACAAAGTTAATCCATTAATACAGGACAGGGAATTTATTATCTCTTGAGCCCCTCTCCTCTGGGATTTATCACGTTTTTTCTTTAGTTTTATTGCACAGTCACCCAGCTGTTGATGCATCAGATTACTCTGTCATCTACATTCCAATAATAAGACTGTCTCCCAGTTATTTTCATCAGAGTTTCTGCTAACTCAGACCCACGGCAGATAAGTCCGAGGTTCTCATCAAAAATGCCTCCTAGAGGTTTGGCTACATTAAGTCTGAACAGATCAGAAAGCCAGGCCGGCTCGCTGCCAGCGCTGACAGTTAGACCCACGTTGTCTACCCGATCCTCCACGCTGACTGGAGCTAGTGAGGCTTCGACTCATTTAACTTGGCGTCTCGGTCTCACTGGGAGGCCGGTGGGCATTTACTCAGCTTCTTGGGCCCCTCGCCCATGTGGGCATGTAGAGTCAGCTACATGGGCCAAGTCAAGGCCTCTCTGATCACCTTGCCACAAAGAAGCCACAGCTTTTATTTCCCACCAAAGTGGATGCCCTTGGGTGACACAAGCCAAAGCTTCAGAGCCCCCTCTCCTGCTTCAAGAGATCGGGAACCGCAAAGTAAATGCCTCACTCCAGGGTCCCCACCTAGCCAACACCTGCTGATCTCAAAGAAATGCTGCAGGCGGAGGGGGGGTGTCGGGGGGGGGGGCATATTCCAAGGCCATCCTCAGCAGGCCTGCAACAGCTGGGGCCCAGCATGAACTCTTGTCTGTCAGCTGTACAGAAAGAGACAACTGGGAATAAAAATACAGTGTTCTCCTATTATGTGAAGTCTTACAAGTATTATCTGTTTTGTGTTACCATCTGGGAACCTCCAAAGTCTTCAAAACAGTAAATCTTTCAGAACAGATGGAGACCGTAGGTTCTGTCTTACTAAACACAACAGGTAGACTTCTAAGATCTTACCATTTTTATAATCAATCTCCCAGTTGTTTCGACTCACGTCAATTTCTCACTGGTGGTGCTTCTATGTTGTGACAGAATTTCACATCGGTAGGAATTTGAAGGTTATTTTATCCTTTAGCAGTGAACTGGTTTGCACACAAAAATTGTACAAATCACCCACCTACATTTCCTTCTGACATGCAAATACAACGTGATTGACTAAATTACAAGGATGCTATTTTAGCATTTATATAAGAACAGTTTAATTTCTAGCATATTCACTTGTTTTTGAAGATATAGAAAACTTAAAACAAATAGTAACTAGGCTCAAACTTTTCACGGAAGTTTTATAGAATTGCCAGGATAAAATAAACATCCCTGTCAAAAACTACTGAAAAACCAAATTCTAATTTTTTGCAATATTATAACAGTAGGTACATGTAATTTCTAGCTTCAGCTTTTATTGAAGACTGGCTTCATTCACATTATATTGTTTACACAATATAGTTGAGACATTTAAATAACTTTTTTTTTTCAGGTGGAATTGCCTGCATCATTACAAACAAACAAACAAACAAACAAGCAAACAGCTTTCTACATTACTACCTTGACTTTCTTTTCATTCTTTAGAATCCATCATAATTTCCATTATATACTTTCATACTTTGTAAACCACTGTTCACTGAGACTTTATTTTCATGGACCCAATTTAATTTTTCAAGATTTGAGTCCATTCATTACTTTTCTCTCATATATTACCATCAAAAATTACTTTTTAAAAGGACAGGTATAACAAATTTATTAAATATCATCTTTTAAACATAAAATTTTAGTAGCAAAAGAATCCAACTAATTGACAATCATCTACTATTATATTCTAAGTAAATGGATTAAGTTAAATTATTCACTAATGAAATTCAAGATGAACTATAACATATTTTCCTATCGTGAATACATTTCATTTACCATATTTTTAGTAAATATTTTCCTTTAAATTCTGATCATTTCAAGTATCTGCATGGAAAATTCTCTACAATTTTCCACACTTAATAGAAAATTAATATTTTTAAATCTTAATGCATTATAATTTTCTTTGATGTAAAATAAATTTCAGCCATGGTTTATTCTTAATTTCAACTAAACCAATGTCCCTAAAAGTAATTAAAAATATAGGCCCTCCCTAGTGGCCCAGTGGGTTAAAGCACTGCAAGCTTCAGCCACCTCAGTGCGAGTATGATCCCTGACCCGGAGATGACCCACATGGTGCAGCGACCTCTCCTGACCTGCCCGCCTCTCCCCTCAGCAGTGTACTTAGTCGGCCTGTTCTGCTCCCCACTCTGTCTCTGGTGAATCCTTTCACTGCCCCTGCACTTCTGGCCTGCACCACAGTTCTATATGCATAAATATTTTAAAAAATTAAATATAAATAAATATATGCGACTATCTTACTGTCTCCAAATGAAAGTTTGAAAAGCTTTACTTTAAAAGAGAAGTAGCATAAAGACAGCAAAAGCTAAGCTGTGTTATAAGCCAGATTGAATTTTCCAATGAGGAGACTAAATTGTAAGGGTCAATCACTAAATAGTTTGCCTCCATTACAAGGAAAAATCCAGTCAATGATCCTGGTATTTTCCCCTTCGCTATCATATTTACATCAAGTAAATTATTCTCATATATGAACACATACATCAAAATATCCCAATAGATTTTCTTGCTTAATTTATTTAGATATTCTAGAAATAGACAACACAGTGTATTTAGTTTTTCTGTTAAAAATATTTCATCTAGACGAAACAGCAGTATAAATCAATTAGACTTGAATGGGAACAAGAGCAACTCATTGTCTGCCTCACTGTTCCTTTCATTATAATTGTATTAACATCTGTCATGGAAAAGCCTAGGTTATGATCCTGAAGCACCTTTGATGCATGCTTCTTTCCAGTGTTAAAGGGCTCCCTTCTATTTTTTCTTATGATAGGATGAGGAGGTAAGGGAGAGTCGATTCAGCTTCACAGCCTATGGAATGGGACCGTGTCTGCAAGCAAAAGACGGTGTGACCCCAAAGGGCCCAAACCATCCTGTCCAGGTGATGCCGAAAAGCCCTGATGAAATGAGGAAGGTCTTTATCGACCGAGCCAAGAAGATTGATACCATTTCCCGAGCCTGCTTCCCACTAGCTTTTCTGATTTTTAATATTTTCTACTGGGTTATCTATAAAATTCTTAGGCATGAAGATATTCATCAACAACAAGATTAAATCTCTGAGGGCATGCACTTGCAAACCCTTTGAAAGAATTCTTTGCCATAGGGGTGTGTGTGCCTGTGTGTCTGAGCCTGCGTGTAGAATACGAGTGACGGCCTTAGAGTAACAAGAGAATACAGGAAGGTGTTATTACGATTGCTATGCAACGCCACGAGGCAGGTGAGATTCTCTGAATGGCTACAAAATAGATGTATTATAAGAATTTTATTTCATATAAATATAAATGATCTGCTCTTTCACAGTAAATCATGTAAGTGAGAGTATCTCTGCCAACATGTGTCCGTATGTTACATAATATCACATAATTGTATATGTGAAAATGGATCGGAATCTCATTAATTCAATGACATTAAATCTTATAGAGTAAATTTTGCACAATAAACTATGAAAGGAAAAGGGGGGAAAGTTGAAGATTATCAAGGTCAATAGCGTGGGACTCATTTTTTTCTTATACTGTGGTTACAAAGCAGGAAAAGAGCACTCTGCACCAATCAAAGATTATACAAAACCTATCCCCACCAACTTAGGTAGTAACAAAATGATGTTCAAATTAGAGGATTGAAAAAAATCTGTATTGTTTGGATAGCAAACATAAGTTTTTTAAAAGTTAATGTCTCTCCTTGGAAATACAAGACACATGGCTTAAGAAATCAAAACATATACAACATCTACTATATCTTTATAAATGAACTAGAAGTAGTGAAAATGGAATTATTGATTTTAGTGTGCTAAATGTATTGCCAACACTAAAACATTCAAACCAGCATCTTGTTTCTGTTAGATATTTAATAGTTGCCTAACTGTATCAATCATGTTTGATATTTTGATATAACAATATTGAATGAAGTTCAGTAAGACTTTTATATTTAGCTTAGAATGAGAATTTAAGATTCAGTGGATTAAAAGTATTTGCATTTTGATAAAAATGAATTTAATGAAAACAAACATGGATTTATGAAAGATTTTTTGAATAAGAACAGTTTCCCATCAAAGTTATATGGGTTTAAATTCCTAACTTCACATGAAAGGAGGGAAGATTTTAATTCTAAATTATTTATTTAAATGTCATTTCTATAAAGTGTGGGTTGATTGTTTTTATATTTCTAAATTAGTGATGTCCATGTACAAGCTATTAATGCTATGTGAATAATTTTAAATGAAATTTTTACTTAAAATTTATCAACAACCCCATGAAATCATTTCAATAATGGGGCACTAACTCTTTTCATGCAGTGCAATTAAGTGCAAATATAGGATAGAGTTCTTGGTTGAATTGAGGCAATTCATTCTTTCAGCAGGTTTGCTATTTTGACATTATTTTTTATGAGTAATGTATATTTTAAAGATCTAGGATGCTTTTCAATGTTTAATATTTGTCAAATTTGCTGAACGGAAATTCAAGGTACTGAACTATTGACAAGAAAGTCTTAAACATTGAGAAAGTGATACACTTACATATACTGGGCAAAGGAGTGAGTTCTTGAACAAGGTATTACTATTTTCAACTTCTGTCATTCCCAAACTAAAAGCAAGCACTGCCATGTGAAGTTGGAAACATCTCAGTGTTACTGAAATGTGGTTTAGCCAATTCCAGTTTTTAAAAATAATTTTTTTTAGAAAATAAGATATGTGTAGCACATTTTTCACAGAAAAAAGAATTCCCCTCCTTTCAAGCAATTTAAAATACTACGAGAAAAGTATCATCCTGCTTATGCTTAAATGTGAACACCACTATTTCACAACATCAGAACTGAGTACTTTAGTTAGTTGAAAAATGCTTTTTTATTTGGTGTGTCTGTTTGAACCAAAACCATGGAATCATCTTTTTGTACTAAAAAAGATGATTAGACTATAGCAAGATTTGTTAGTGGTATTCTCTGAGGATAAGCTAGGCAGTTTGAAGTGATGATAAACTATCTTGTCTCAGTGTGTCTCTTGGAACTGCTTGAATCCATAGTTCTCTCCTTCACTCAACTTCTTTCAAAACTTTTTCATCATTGCCTAAATTAAGTAATGCTTCTAGAAGCAACCAAAATATAATAAACTTACATCCCCAAAGAAATACATGAACATTGCTTGCTTCCATATTTGAGAATGTGAAAAATGCTTCTTTTTGGAACTTGAAACTTGGAATGTGAAGATATTAAACTGTGTGACAACTTGCAGCAGGGACCTAGTAAGGTAGACATTTCTGTCTTGAAGTTATTACATTTAAGCATTTATAGGGATTATTGTCTTCCAACACTGAGGAAATACTTTGACAGCCTTCACTTAGAGGATAACAGTGGGAAGGCAAAATGGCTGCAATGTCAAAGGAACATTCTATCTTTAATGAATCTTTACAGACCAATAAAACTGAGAAACTGCATCGTAATTGCCTTCCTAATCACTTGGCAAACCCCAATATTTCAAGTCACACCAATCAAGAAGCCTGCATGCTGTAAAAATCAAAGCGTGTGCAAATACACTAACTGTTCACTCAGAAACTGGAATTCCAATGTGGATATTCTGAAGTATTTTGCAAGAACCACATTAGAAAGCATGTCATTTCCATGCATATACTTCATTTTTTTAATAATTATGTATCTCAGTGACTGACAAACAATTTCATAGTATATTAATTTTTAAGAAATCTTAATATCTTAGCACGTAGGTGCTAATGCTTCTCTTTTTTCCCCAGTCATTAGAGTTGGAGTTCAGCTATACAGGGAATCTAGAACTTTCCTGACCACTTACTTTCTTGGAAGCAAGAAAGTCAGGATCTTTAAAACTTCTCCTACCCCTCTGCACATTTCTCCCTTCAACTCTCAGCTGCTATTTTTAGGGAGTCATTGGGTGTTCTTACCTTATTGAATAGTGATTTCCTATTTTATGGGTATACCTAATAACCTTTATCTTAATTTTTGATGTATAAAGTCTTTAAATATATGTACGTTATATATATATATATATACATATATGTATGCCCCAAGCATGAAATCATTCAGTAGTCTTTATGGATTTATTCCCAGGAATTTGGGGAAATAATGGAAAGTATAGGGTAAAGACATGGAAAAAGAAGTCACTGTGCTCAATGGAAGAAAGCATGTTGTAACTTTCTCTGTGCAGCTTAAGTAATTATAATTTTAAGAGAAAACTAGGTGCAATTCTGTACTATATATACATCTATTTTTTTAATGTCTTTCATCTCATTTTTTGAAATATATTGTTCTGTTCTTAACATGACATACCTCAACCTGCTAATCACTTTAGAGGACTGAATAGTACATTGATCACTAAATTTCCTTTAATTTATAAAGTAAATATTCTATGAATTAGATTAAAGGGAATAAGAGATTTGCACATATTAAAAGCAGAAAAATGCTCTTAATATTAAAAGTAGGCAATTAGCAATAGTGAAACTGGGCCTCTGTGGTGGCCTAGGGGTTAAGTCTCAGCATTATCACTGCAGCTGAGTTTGACCCCTGACCAGGGAGCTGACCCACAGAGCGGCAGACCTCTCCTGTCTAGCTCACTGCTCCCCTCAGTATCTGTCTGATCTGCTCCCCAGCTGTCTCTAGGGAATTCTCCCAACTCCTAACCTCTGGCCTACACCCCAGTTTTTCTACACACACACACACACACACACACACACACACACACAAATAAAAACTTAAAAAAGAAATAGTGAAATAGGCATCCTCTAATAGCAACTTAGAGTACTCAAAGAATGAAAATGAACCACAGTTCTTAGACCAATCAACCATTAACATGAGGTCATGTCTCAATTGAAAGTAAATACCACACACTTTGTAAGAGCTCTGAAAATTTATCAATATCTACTGTCTGTTTCTCATCTAATTGATACTGCACTAGTAAAGAAAGCAAATCGAAGTGCGCAGTAAGGACTTATATCTAGTCCATCAGTATTCATTGATGCTGATAAAGTGAATAGTATAAAATAATGGACTTGAATGAAACATATTAAAGAAATAAATATGGCTTCTACCCACAAGGCATTTTAATTATAAGTCTGTTCAAAACAAATAAGCCTATAAATTAACAATCATCTAGTTAATTGGGGGGATTAGTCTGGAATTATCTTAGTGACTCACAGAATATATTTTGCATCATTTGATTTACAAGCTTGTGTTTTGAATTATACTCTCCTGTGAAGCACAGTTATGATAAATAGATTTCATTTGTTACTTTAGGCATTCAGTTTTTGAAATGGATCATTTTCTTGTCTGTGTGTGGCTTTGACACTAAGTTCCATGCCACTACAGAAGTATAGAAATTTTTAGCCCCATCAGCATTGATAGACTACAAACCTTTTCAGTTGCTGGCTTCATGTGCATTAAAAAAGAAGAAGAATGTAATTGCAAACACTGCCATTTTTTTAAATGAGAAATTCCAGTATCTCCTTTAAGTTGTACCTCAAATAGTCTGACCCACCCAAGAAAATTAAAGGGCTTTCTGATTGCAATTTTTCAGATAATTTTGATTAAGATATTTTTGTTGCTGTTGTCCCTGTCTGAATAACCAGCAGTGGCAAGGTACTCGTGAGCAGAAAAATGAGCATTCTACTAAAGTCAACAAATTTGAATATAAAGACTCCTTGTTCTTTTTCTCAAGAGTGTTATCAACTGCTGTTTGCAGCCATGAAGCCAAGCACAGCTCTGAAGAACAATCATGTCCATTGCAATGGTCACTGAACCTTGAACTAAGCACCCAGCCAGTCTTCTAGTTTCCATGCCATATTATTAACCTCGAAGTTCATCGACTCATCACTCTGACACATTAGAGGGGTGCTGAAAACATGATAAGAAGAATTCCAGCTTGAAGCTGTAAGACAATCATTGCTTCTTAATATAATGGTTTAAAAATCCAGTGTATATGGTCACACAGATTCCCTCTTGACCAAGTGCAAATAAGTACCCATGATTCCAGATGCTCTTTTATCCTTGTCTAACAGACATCCTCCTTAGCAATAGATGGTTTTCATTTTCTGATGCATGTATTGCAAAGTGGTAAAATAGAGGCATCTCATTTTATTCTCATGGTGAGGTAAGCACCTCATGAATAAATATGCGTTATTATAACTTGTATTAATTTAATTTGTCTTATGATTAAGCTTTTCCCCCAGTCCTCCTCCTTCTTTAAAAACATTCTAATATTAAAACAAAAACTTCCAATCAATGACAGCTTCTATTTGAATTACTTTAAAAGGAAAGTGATACCTTTTTTCCACAACCATTGCTGAGAGCTCGTGTGTAAAATATAACTCCAAAGGATTTGAAAATAACTAGATAGGGACATAATCTGGAGAAGCTTTTTTTGGGAATCATTCAAAGAACAAGAAACCCTGAGTTAATCGCTAGAATCATCTCATGCCTAATTTTTC